AAATACAGTTGTGAAAACTAAATGGATTAAATTAATAGTAAATAAGCTAGTTAGAATTTAGTAGGAAGAAAACCATCCAGTTGAAAATAATAATATTAAATAAGTAAGTAAATAAATAAAAAGTTATATATACATATTAATATTGTATTGACACCAATTTCAATTCAATTCAAAAAAACCAAAGAGTGATCAAGTTGCAAGAAAAGTGGCTGACTGCCATTTCCTTTTTACCTAGGCTACCTTGCTTGCATGCTTGTTTTTCCCTAGTTCACACTCAACCTCCCTAGAGAAGTAAGCATGCATAGATGGCATTCCAAGCCTTTGATTAAGGCAGCCACAGCATGCAAAATCTATAGGCTATCATCTAAGCTTAGATGATAGTTCCTAAGCAAAAAGAAGAAGTAAAGTAAAAATAAAATAATAATAATAATAATAAATTAGGCCCTCAAACTCCTATATTAGGAGCACTATTCAGCCTCATTACACACACTTGTAAGAGCAAAACAAAGAGAGAAGAGAGGGAGAGAAAGCAAGAGGGAAAGAAGAGAAGGGAAGAAGGGCCCAACACTTGGGATTTTTTTTTACTTCATTAAGGTAAGAACACATCACCTCTATCCTCCCTTAGATACTTCTAACTGAATTTTTATGATTTATATAGGCAAGACTAAGCATGGTTAAGTCATATATAGCAAAATAATACCATGCATGTTCAAAATTTTGATAGGATGAGGGTCATTATGTTATAATTTCATGTTCCTTCTTGCAAATATAGATATATGGCTTAGCTAATGTTTTTATGTGTTCAATGTTCTCCATTGTTGAAATAATCTTGCAAGAGAGTACGATGAGATGAGAATGGCTTCCTTTTATCTGAAACTTAGGTTCTTCTTCACTGTTTCAGACTTTATCAGATCAAAAGATGGCTCTAATAAATTGAAAATAATTGATGTTTAAAATCTGTGTATACTGGAAGTAGATAAAGGTGTTATACACTGTGTAAAATTTTTATAAAATCATTGGACACCATTTTCTTACCGAAACAAATATTTTCCCTAAGCGTCGCCTACAACACAGCAGAAGCAGTGGCTTCAAACAGGTCCCATTTTCTCTACAAATGGTATTTTTTTGCACGACCACTTGGAATAGTTAGATATAAGAGTTATTTTTCATTTGACACTGATTTCACAAAAAATGGATAAGTCTAAAAGGAGAAATTGTGGTTTTACTAAAATGCAACAGAATCTGTCCAGATTTCTTAGAAAAATTATTTGACCATCTTCCGTTGATTTTCAATCTTCGAATCCTTCTGGAAATATGTTCTAAACTCAAGTATCTAACAAACTATTCTAACCATGCCTCTTTTCGACACCGTTTGAGGACCCTTTTTATTTTTCGAACACAGAACACCTGTGCTGACATTTTCATGGCCTGAATATATTTTTACTTCATGGCTGTTTGGAGGCAGCAGTAATGCTGACTTTACCAGGTCACCGTTTATTCCCCAGAATAAATTTTCAGTGATTCAAATCGAAAAAGTTAGGTTGCGTTTGGTTGTGTTTTGTAAATGTGATTTGAGAGTATGAGTTGTATTTTGAGTTTGTGTGTTGTAGAATTATGATTTGAGTGTAGAAAATTTGTTTGGTAAAGAGTTTTGAAAATAGTTTTGGAAAAGAGGTTTGATTTGAGTGGGGAATTGTTGATGTGATATTTGATATGTGATACAAAAATTTACAACTCCTAACTAAACATACAACTCAAAATTATTTTAAAGCACATTAAAAATTAAAAAAATTTCAGAAAATATTTTACTAATTTGGCCAATTTACAGTTGCTCAATATATACTCTTTCTTTTTTATATTCTAAAAAATCCAATTCAACCTCTTGAAATACTGCTGGTAAATCTAAATTATCTAATCAAGTGAGAAAAAAAAAAAAAAAAAAAAAAAAAAAATTGTACAACAGAGGACATCCGGGTGGATGTCCCCAAGGACGTCCGGGTGGTAGTCCCTAGGGACGACCGGGTGGTCTTCCCCTGGCCAAAAAAAATACAAGAAACGCGCAAAATGAACAGAGCTTTCGGCAGAGTTTTGGAAAATTAATTCCAGAACTCTTACCAAACATGGAGCTGAAACTAGCATGTAGAATCACATTTCAAAAGCACAACCAAACACAGCCTTATATTTTTAAGTTACCTTTCAAATGTCACTGGTTTCATAATTGTTTATTAAGTATTGAGAGAGAAACGCCAATTTTTCCAAAATATGACTGAATCTGTCCAGTTTTCTTATAAAAATTACTTGACCATCTTCGACTGGTTTTCAGTCTTCACAATCTACTGGAAATATGTTCTAAACTCAAAAATTTAGCAAACTGTTCGAACCATGCCTCTTTTCGACACCGTTTGAGGACCCTTTTTATTTTTCAAACACAGAACACCTGTGCTGGAGGTTAAAGTAACTCACTGTCCAGAAAAGCCAGTTTTCTTCCAAAATTTATTTCTCCCTTTAAAAATCGTTTTTAGCTCTGGTATTATTCTAGGAATATCTTCCTAACTCAATGAATTAGCACCAGTTAAAATATCGTAATGATTGAACATCGTTTGGTATGGGTTTCATAGTTTTTTTTACATACAGTGCTGAAAGAAGTAGTGAGTGAATTCCTAAGAAATTTTGTGATAATTCCTAAGACATTCTATCATATTTATTTTGGTTGTCATACACGATTGTGTTGTGCTATATAAATATTATGTCACTGTTGTTTTCGAACTAAAACTCGTACATGCAGCAAAATGTGAATTGGACAAAGTAAAGGGACACGGAATCAATCAGATACATTAAAATTTAAAAGTGATGGGGTGAGCCCGGTTTAGAATTTTGCGCAAGTGAGTTGCGAACCCTAACATGGCACGGGAAGGTATTTCGGCTCTTATCGGTACAGGCGATATAAGGTTCGTGGTACGGGTGTCACAACATAGACCGTTCCCTTGGGGCAGACCGTGATGTCACGACTCGGGTACGTAACCCTAGTGCGTGGGCATCATTGGTAGTTACAGTAAGTAGCATTCGAATATTTGACCAAGGGGGAGTCAGAATTGCCTGTGACCATTGCTTAGCGGTTGAGTGGAAACAGTGCTCCGCGGGGAGTTACTTAAACTTACCTATTAAATTAAATCTATGTGACTTTAAAAGAAAAGAAAAAAAAAAGAGTGTGCATTTTCCTTATGATGAATCACTATTTCCGTTTGCCATTTTTTTTTATCTATTGTTATTATTTTAACTGTTGGCATTTCTGTTACGCTTATTAAACGCTGCTTATTATTCTGTTATTACACAATATTTATTATTTGTGAGTGTTATTATCGGAGTGGGTATTTTCGGGTTATAATATCTTATTGAGCTCGTCGCTCATTGGCATTCCCATTGCCCTGGCGTTTTATGCCAGGTATTGAAGAAACCGAAGGAAGCGCCGAGGCTTTGCAAGGCGACATTCAACCTTGGTCAGCTTGAAGAATGCCCAAGATTCTATGAACCATTTCTGAACCATTTCCCTAGTTTTATTCTTTTTACAAGTGTGTTTTTTTATTTATTTATTCTAAGACTAAGTTTTACGTTATTTGGAGTTGTAATTTAAGAACTTTTAGTTTCCGCATTGTTAATTAATGGATAATGGTAATTTCGGTGGCAACATTGATGAGGATTCTTAATTAAGAAAATTGATTTTTAGTTTTATACCTTATTATGATGTCCTCAAATTTTGGAGCGTCACATTGAAAATCACTTTGTTGTAACCGGGAAAAACCTTGGAACTTGTAGCCATTAAGGCATTAATTTGTATTTAGATTGTTTTAACTTATTATTATCACATGCTCTAGATTCATATCTTAGGGATGATGAAAATATTGATACATGTGGTCACTCTTTTGTTAAATCTCATATTGAATATTACTAAGAGAAAGATGGGAATTTAGTATGAATATTGATCATTGAAATGCCTATAATACTCAATGTTCACTACAATATATAAGGGTTTTAGAGACCAAATATTTTGGTTTCTAAAAGTGAAAATTTCGTTACAAAAGACATTTAAGAACTAATTTCCATCGTTATGAGGATAGTCGCTAAATGGTCATTCTAGAAAGTCAAAAACAAGGCTTTTAGCGACAAAATTTTGAAAATGTCACTAATAAATAGACTTTTAAGGACAAAATAATTTGATCTCAAAATGGTTTACTTTTTGAGACAAAAAATTTGGTCCCAAAAGGATAATAATTTATCACTAATGTCTAATTTTTATTGCTAAAAATATAATGACAACGCTTTTCGTAACAAAATTATTTGGTCACTAAAAAATAATTTTGTTCCTAAATTTTAGTCTCTAATACCGTAATTTTTTGTAGTGGTTTATGTATGTAAATAATTGGAAATAATGAGGTTTAGATTACGTATACGAGTTAATCTAGATCTATCGGATGTCAATTTTTTGGGGGTACTACACTAGGTCATCCAAAACACATGGTGACAAAATTATATTACTTTTTAAATCCATTTCAAAATTTCAAAATTTCTATAACTTTTGATATAGATTTCTGTTTTTTATAAAATTTATATTTTTTGAATCGTTTCATCAAGATCCATGATTAATACAAAATTCTAAAAAAAAGTTGTCAAAATTTTACTGATCAAAAACAGATCAATGAAATTTCAATTGGTCAGTAAAGTATATAATTATAAAATTGAAGAACTTTTACAAAACCAACGGTAATAATTTAATAAATTCATATACAGCCATGATTGTATTCATTTGGTTCAAAACATATAATATAAATAAAATTAATTTGGAACATTGAAAACAAGGAGGGTAACTGGAGAGAGTGGCTGGAGAGGATCTCAATTCCCCCCAACCCCCAAAAGGAAAAAAAAAAATACTAATGTAACAAGTAACTTAATGGTAACCCATGCAAAAGTGGAAAGAATAAGAGGGGTGCTAGAAAAAAACTCACAAGAATAGATTAATCGTTGCCAACGATTCAGGCGAATACCACTTGGGAATGCTGACGCCTTTCTAGCCATAGTTTTCAAGGCGTGTTTACCGTCGACTAGTTTTGACGTAGCTAATTTGGGATGGCGACCAACCAAATCGAAAGCTATATCTGTTTGTCAAAAAAAAGAAAAAGAAAAAATTATAAATATCATCGAATTATTTGACAAAGCACTTCATCTCTTATGTGTTTACCCATGTTGCATGCTAAGTCTCAATTTGTTTTAAATATAGTGGGTCTTATATATAGACATACTTTTATTGTATTAATATACATAAAAAAGAAATAAATAGATGAAATAAATCTGATAATTAAAAAATTTCTCAAGAAGAAGAATTAAGTTCGAAGAGAGTCAACTTTATTACCTTATAAATTAGTTACTCATAGTTCTGAAAGAGTATTTCTCATATGATTCATGACCTCTAATAACAATTTGCTTGTTTCACTGAAAAATAAATATCTTTTGGTATTTGGTGTGATAAAAATTAAAATTTAACAATAGCTTTATTTTTCCAGTCAATATAAAAAATAGTTGATTAGAGCAGAAAATATTTTATTTACTTTTTTAAGGTGAAAGACATTTTCTCGGTTCCACCACTAGCACCTTGTTTTTAGAACATTGTTTTTAGAATTGCAACCAGACACACAGAAAATATTTTGTATAGATGACATTTTTTCTGAAAATATTTTCTGCAAAATGTGTATATATATATATTTAAAGGTTTTTAGTTTAAAGTCTTTGATATTAAGATTTGATAATAAATGACATGCTATTTCATAATAATTGAGATTCTTTAACATTTTGGCATATAGAAATTTCAACACACGGACAAATTTCTATTCAACACAAAGAATTTTCAATAACAAACTGAAAGTTCTCTAATAATATTATTAGAGAACTGTAACTAATAATAAAAAATATATTAAACTGAAAGTTCTCTAATAATATTATTAGAGAACTGTAACTAATAATAAAAAATATATTAAACTGAAAGTTCTCTAATAATATTATTAGAGAACTGTAACTAATAATAAAAAATATATTAAACTGAAAGTTCTCTAATAATATTATTAGAGAACTGTAACTAATAATAAAAAATATATTAAACTGAAAGTTCTCTAATAATATTATTAGAGAACTGTAACTAATAATAAAAAATATATTAAACTGAAAGTTCTCTAATAATATTATTAGAGAACTGTAACTAATAATAAAAAATATATTAAACTGAAAGTTCTCTAATAATATTATTAGAGAACTTTCAGTTTGTTACTGAAAATTCTTTGTGTTGAATAGAAATTTGTCCGTGTGTTGAAATTTCTATATGCCAAAATGTTAAAGAATCTCAATTATTATGAAATAGCATGTCATTTATTATCAAATCTTAATATCAAAGACTTTAAACCAAAAGCCCTTTAAATATATATATACATTTTGCAGAAAATATTTTCAGAAAAAATGTCATCTATACAAAATATTTTCTGTGTGTCTGGTTGCAATTCTAAAAACAATGTTCTAAAAACAATGTGCTAGTGGTGGAACCGAGAAAATGTCTTTCACCTTAAAAAAGTAAATAAAATATTTTCTGCTCTAATCAACTATTTTTTATATTGACTGGAAAAATAAAGCTATTGTTAAATTTTAATTTTTATCACACCAAATACCAAAAGATATTTATTTTTCAGTGAAACAAACAAATCGTTATTAGAGGTCATGAATCATATGAGAAATACTCTTTCAGAACTATGAGTAACTAATTTATAAGGTAATAAAGTTGACTCTCTTCTAACTTAATTCTTCTTCTTGAGAAATTTTTTAATTATCAGATTTATTTCATCTATTTATTTCTTTTTTATGTATATTAATACAATAAAAGTATGTCTATATATAAGACCCACTATATTTAAAACAAATTGAGACTTAGCATGCAACATGGGTAAACACATAAGAGATGAAGTGCTTTGTCAAATAATTCGATGATATGTAGAATTTTTGCTTTTCCTTTTTTTGACAAACAGATATAGCTTTGGATTTGGTTGGTCGCTATCCCGAATTCTTTTTTATTTATTTTTTTATTTTTTAATTTTCGCAACATTTTAACTCATGCTGCAACTAACCACAATTTTAATAAGACAGGTTGAAGATTAGAAGAAAAAAAAAAAAGTTCATTTGATAACTGTGTTAATAGGTTCATGAAGCGCTCATTGGAGATATTCTAATCCACCGCCACTCACAAGGTTCTGGATGGCTAATCCATCTTAATTAGTTTATTTGTTTAAAAACATTAACTATTGACATTTAATTACAATTTTAAGAATTATTGAGATCTTAAAAAAGTCTCTCTTAATCTATCTATAATGACACAACAAATTACATGTTGATTATTTATTTTTCACAAATTCAATTATGTAATCCTTTTGTCGTATTATTGTTGGTGAATTGTGAATTGTAAATTATGAATCTCTATTATTCCTTAATTTAATTATTTTGGAAAATTGTATTAGATGTTGTTTGGGGCAGCCCATAAATAATTTAATTTTCGATTAAAAAAATTCAAAAAATACTAAGTTGTTTGTTAAAGGCTTATTGGGTGGGTGTTGGGTGTGTTGGTCTCTTATTATCTTCTAGCTTATTGTGTCATAGCTTATGAGGTAGGGACGGAACTAGGAGAAGCCTATAAAGGATCATGGCTGTTGGAATCCACAAAGGTGTATGTGTGTAAATTAAATGTATAAATTAAATAAACAATAAAATAAAATAATTATATAAATTATTTCCCGAATTAAATGCTTAAAGAAATTAATGTCGAGACTTGTGTTGGACACAATCTCCTTAAAGTAGATTTTGCCGTCGCTCCGGTGCTTCGAGTTTTACTGGCCTCTACTTCCCAGGGTGCAACGACTAACACTTAAATTTGCAGCACTACAAATTTAAGTCTGGCGAATCAAAACTCTATTGGAAACTCTCTCTTTTTCTTCCTAAAAATAAATGCAAAAATTAATGCAAGAGCACAAGAAGAACAAAAAAAGAAGAACGAAAATCTGAGGGAAAAATTGAATAAAATGAACTGCTGGAAGCATGCTTTATATAGACAGAAAGGTGGTTGTTTCGAACAGGTGCCAACAGATAGGCAACTGTTCGAACAGATAGACAATCTGTTTGGATAGATTCAGTTGGAATGCAACAGGTAGAAACCTGTTTGAACATTTTGAACCAGTTCAGGTGGTATGGACCTGTAAGGGACTTGTTTGGGTGAAGAAAAATTCTAGACCAATTCATTTTGATTTTTGAAACCAAAAATAAAAATAAATAAATAAAGTTCAAAAGTTTTTGGCCCAAAAAGATAAGTATTGGGCCGGACAAGCCCAAC